AATCATTTGTCAATCTTTCTTTTATGAACCTTGCATCTAAAGGTTTGCCAGCCTTTCTTCTTTGTAGGTTTTGAACACTGTTTATAGATTCCACTTTTTGTTTTTAAGCTGGCAGATGGCCAGTTATTTATCTGGGATCAAATGTATTGTGTAAGACAGAAACAGGACGTTTTGCATGCTGATATCATGCACAGGGTATTTTTGGGGCAAAAGGCTGCTTGTCAGCGAAGCCATTACGTGACGGGTCGGTAGCTCCACGTCAGCTCGTGGTCAGTGAACAAAGCCCCTTTTGACATTTCTCTGTATTAAAAGTTATGAAATAACATGAACTTAATGAACAAACAAGGCGGTACAGTGCTCCTACTAGGAATTAAGCCATATCGTCCATTCCCACCTCTTTCTCCTTGGAGTTCAGACATTTGATGCCCTTTTTATACATTCGGCAGTCAAGTTATAATTTACTCCTCTGAATTTCTGATATTGCCTGCTTTGCTGTGGTACAGACTTGTGTGGCTGTGCTGGTAGAAAAGTCTGTTGGCTTTTGGAGGAGCTGGATTCACTGGTACTAATAAGTAGTAAATTTGGTGTTGTGGCTTGGTCTGTGGTTACTGCTGTACGTTTGGCAGAGAAGCTGAACCCCCTGAGCAGGCGGAAAGCTCAGACGGACCTACACAGACGAATCCCAAAGGCAAATTTGTAATAAATGAGTATTCAGTTCATTGTGGGATTTCTTCAGAGTTTCTGACTCTCTCAAGCTTATTCTTTGCTGGCAGCAGAAAACTGGGGATGCAAATTTAGGAGTTTTTGGAAGTGATGAGCCAGAAGGAGGAACAGAAATCTTTAGAAGATGTCTTCAATTTTACTCAAGTATGGAGCCAAGAACATTTGGGTAACTATGAATCTGGAAACAGATTAAAAAATGCACTTATTGCTCTGCTGAAACATAATACAATTAGTGTGCTGTTAATACCATCTTGGTACTGGTTACCCAGCTATTACGGTTCATAGTCCTCTGGCACTAAAAGCTTTTATGCAGATGCAGTCTCTGAAAAACTTCATCTGTTTGGTTTTGACACTCTTTCGTTTGCAGAAAAAGGGGTCAGATAACTGGAAGAAATCCTGTCTTGGGTACATCTTTCTGCCAGGTTCTCTTGCAGTTATTTTTCTCTGTTCTGAATCGCTTAGCAAGCGCTACTTTGCACTAGGAAATGCTTTACTGCAGTTTGAGATGGTTCCCCCTTTGGTACGGGTAAGCTGATTACTAAAGATCACCTACAAAATGTTTTAAATTTGTGCAGTATTTCCACATTATAAAGAATAGTGGAAACCTTTAACTGGTATCTAAAACTGCCACAGCTGAAGCCTCCAGATATTTTTAGTTGATGTCTGAGGCTATTTACAGTATATTACTGTGTTTACATACAATTCAGAAATTTAGAGGCTGGCATTGATGAAGGGCACTGGGTTGGCAGTCACAGCTCTTTGTATGCAGATGGACATGGTATAGTATGAACTTTGGAGTGTCTGAGCTGATAGCTCTGTACCCTTGCGAAGGTGATATGGGTTTTCATAAGCATGAGCGTTAAAGATTTGGGGGTCTGTCTTTTACTCACAATATGGCATCCAGTGGCAATACCCCTTTTAGCACCTTTTCAGGGCTTCTGGAAAGTGTCCAAGTGGAGGACTCCCACCTCCTTAATCACGAGAGAACACTGGCTCTCCTCTGAATGTCATTCATTCAAGTGTGCTGACCTAGCCTGACCCTGTTTAGATTGAGATCTAATGAGCCCACGATCCAAGGTGGTGTGGTAGCTCTCAGCAGGTTTTGCAAATAAGCAAGTGTTGTGTTTTTCTGGATGCATGTGGTTTAAATTTATCACGTCAATAAACAAGTGTCTCACGCTCAAATACAGACTTTACAATGTTGTAGTTAAGACTAAATGGTAGCACTACAAATTGCGATGTCACTTTATAAATATAGAAGGAGACAACATGGGATATTTATGACCTCGGAACAATGAAGTGCTGTTGGCTGGGTTTTTTTTTTAATTTAAATAATGATATAATACTTGAATTCTTAATGCAAGTGGATCACAAACTTTGGACACACTAATGGTTCAGGGAAAGCAAAACTGAAAAACAAGGCTGTTGATTTAAATAAGAGAGATGCACCAGTAGAGTATCAGAGATCATCCAAGCTAAAATAAATACAACTAGGCTTTAAATCCCAGCGAAAGGTTTGGTTTGGTTTGGTTTTCTTCTGAGTCCCAGGTTTTGGGGAAGGTTGGTTTTGGTTGTGTTGTTCTTTTATGAATTGTTATAAAACTGCCCTCTCCAGCTTCTGTGGAGAATGTGCCACCAAATGTAGGTGTTTTATGAAGCACATAAAAATTGAGGCTTTCAAATAAAAAGCCAGTCAAGGACAGATTGTGGTGTGTACTGCTGGATTAAATCAAGTTGGCATGGATGGGTAAAAGTGCAGTTGCAACTAGAAAAGCTGTCTGAGCTGTAGGATTGCAAGCGCTTTCACAGTCTGTGTGCTGGGAGTCCCAGATAGAAGCCTGATGAATCCGATTTTCCTTAGATGATGCTGTGGGCTAGCAGAAGGGACTGTAAATCCTAACTCTTTCATGCCCAGGACAGCATTAGCCTCACAGGGAGAACAGTTCTCTTGTTTCAGACAGCCCACAGTTGCATCCACAGCGATGCTGGAAACAAATGTTGTTAGGGCTCGGTATTTATGTTGGGACCTACAGGGAGGGAGCAACTTGTTTTGTTTTTAATGGAGCAGTCGGCGAGAGGGATAAAAAGCTTTTTGCTAATGCCAGGAATGCAGGGGGGAAGGGAAGGTACAGAGATACGCATTTACTGTAAGTATGAAGAAGCAGAGGCCTCTTTATCAGGCCAGCTCTAATGATGTGCCACAGTCACTTTATTTGAAAGCTTCATGGCTCACAGAAAAGTAAACAAATTCATTACATGATTTTTAAAAGATTAACCCTAGCGTGTCGTCTGTTGGGCAGCTGCCGCAGTCATCTTCTACAAACACTTTCTAAATGACCACCCTCAGTGTTTTCCTGGGCTTTGTGCGGCTGGGTTCTTGTTTTAGTAAGGACCAGGGTGGCTTTTCAACTGAAAACGTTGCTTCCTGTGTAACAGTTACATACCTACCTTCACCCTAAATGTTATTTTGTCCTCAGCACGAGTTAGAAAATGTCTTGTATGTAAATGGAACGTGTGTTGGGTTTTTGCATGTGTTTGCACAGGAATACTGGTTTTTCCATAAAAGTAGCTTGCAAGTATTTTAAACAAAAAAAACCCCACCCTAAATTCTCTTTACTGTCCCATGCGCAATTGTTCTAAGTTCTGCTTTATTGGCCTTTTCTGGTCTTTGAAAACAGAAAGTTGAAAAGATGAGGCAAACTAAAGTTAGACAATACATGAATTGACACTGAACAAATATTAGTCCTCAGCAGGTGTCTTTGTGTTCAGGTATTGCCTTGTTTAACTGCCCTTTGCTTGAACGTCAGCAAGAATACTGTTAAGAGCCAACATGTCAGGTTTTTCATTCGACTAACAGAAATTGATATAACAAACACTAAAGATTTTTGAGTTTATATGGCAGCTTCAGCCAGTTTTTCCATACAGCAATTGATCTTCTTGTGCATTCAGGTTGCAGTTATGGTTTCCTAGTCCAGGTGAGGAGGGAGCAGGGAGAGGAGGAAGAATGTTTCTCTCCCACTCAGTTTTGCCACTGTGGGTTTCCAGTGCTCTAGCAGAGGTCCTCACCTGGCAAGTGCAAAGCAAGTAAAGCTGCTGGATCGGAACTAAGTCCACTCTGTGAACAAAATCATTGTTCTTGGAGGTGGTGGTTAAATTCCTGGGGTTTATCTTCCCCATTCTTGGGATGTGAGATGCTAACACAGCTGCTGTAGCCCTGGGTGGTTCCTTCAGATTGCCTCGCTTGTCTCTGTGTGTGTACTCCATCAGTTTGTAGCTGAAGCGTCCAAGGGACATGCAGATTTGGCAGAAACACTACAAAATGTACTGTATTTATTTTGAGCAGAAGAATTATGGATTTAAAAAACAAACACGTGCAGTCTCCCATTATTCTGTCCCTGTCATATAGTAGTCTGCTTCAAAGCCCATTTGTGTACAGCTAAGGTAGACATTTCCTGGGCCACCTTACATCCATGCCATTTCCACTGCTGTCAGTGGGTAGTTTTCCCCTACCCAGAGATCCCATTTTCTTACAAATATAGCCTGGCCTTGCAGGAAGCTGTCCCTTGCTCAGGTTGTCTTACTGAACCCTGTAACTGTTGCTGAGCAAGTGGATTAGTTAATGGAGTTATTCACAAATCATTACTGTCCTTGTGCATACCTTTAGCCTGCGTTTTATGGTAGTGCCTGACCATGGAGGTGGCTGAGAAGCACCTTCGATACGTTTGGTGAAGGTATCAAAGTTTTCTTTGGGACTCTCTGAGATCTGTAACTATCATATAAGCTAAGTAGCACCACCCGTCTTGGACTTAGAAGTATCTAAAAGCAAGACCAGGACAGTTAAAGAGTCTTGTTTGAAGAATTCCATACTTTTGGTTGCTTGGTTGGTACTGGGAGGTAGCGCAGAAGAGGTGGCTTCATAGTGTCCAAATCCCTCCTGCTTCCCAAGGTACACAGGGCTTTGCACAACCAATATTATGTATGTTTAATATATATCTAGAAGGTGCTCCAGTTACCATACTGCTGAGAACAGTAGAGTCATCTGGAGAGGGCAGTTCTAAGGCTTCTTCAAGTGCAGCATTTACAGTCCTGTGAATTGAGCAGAGTAAAGAGGTGATGGAAGTATAATGAACAGTAAAATTATGAACCTTGAAGCTTCTGGTTTTAAGTATTATCTGTGTCCTTTCATTGCATGTGCAAAGTAGGCATAATTGCTTTTATGCGTATTATTTTCACTTTCCTATAGAAATATTAATACTTGATTTAAATGTTTTTTTCAGGCAACAGAAGAAGAGGAAGAACTTACTGCAGAGGAAAAGAGGAAACTGGAAAGAAAATTAAAAAAAGAGCGCAAGAAGAAGGAAAAGCAGCTGATGAGGGAAGCTGGGATCTCTATCAAAAAGGTGGAGCCCAAAAAGCAGTCAGGATGTGAGTTGGCTCTGGCCTATTTAACCAGGTAGGACTAGTAAAACCACTGCAGGTGCTCCCCACAGGAGTAAGCTGTAAACTGTGCCAGAAACCCAGAACAAGCTGGACCAAGTAATAACACATTAAAGGAAATTGCTGCAGTTAAGTATTAAGTTAATGTTTCATCTCAGTTGACACCCAAGCATACAGTTGATCACCCTTTTGTATTTATATCACAGGAAGAACTGAGAGATGTTAAGTACGGTGCAAACATTTTATAGAGAAAGACAGCTCCTGTCTTTCTGATCATGTAGTTGATATATAAATACCACTGGGTTAGCTGCAGTTACAAAGATGAAAGGCACGTTGCAGAAAAGATTGCACTGAGGAAATTAGTTCTGTTTCTGGAGTGCACTGTTCTAAGCAAAGGAGTTCCAGTTGTTCTCTTTATATAAGCAAATTGCATGAAGTGGTTGAGCATTACGGAGTCTGAATTTAACCGCCTGCATGATGTTTAGATATTTGCAAATCAAAATGGGATTATGCTGCTATTTTAAAGTTAACAGAGTACAATGCCTTATTTTTGCATACCAAAGTATACATCAAATATAGTGGCTGATTTCAGAATACAAGCAATTACTTCATCTAGTTATTTAGAATACTCAGTATTCCAACATAAAGCAAAGCGTATGCTTAAACCAAAGAACTACAGCAAAGCATTCACATCACAGTACCCTTCAGACAGTAAGAAGTCATGTATAAACAGGACAAAAGTGCTTATTTTTTTTCAAACTGCAAAATATGCCCTGTCTGTCAGACCTCCAGCAGGCTGGTGTGTTACAAATAGCATTTTACCCCATGGACTAATTCCAGGGTCGCATCTCTGGCCATGCTCAAAACTGAAGCATCCAGACAGTCTGAATTGTTACTTACCACTCTCAGTGGGGAGGGAGGAAATTAACTGCATTCCAGGCAGAGGGACACGTGCATTTTTGTTGCATAACCCACAGCATGCAGTGATAGCAAAATGACAATAATATTTTTGATCCGGAAAACAGCTGGAGGACTTCACCACTGGTTTGAACTGCAAATGGATTGACAGTTGGCTTTGAACCGTCTGCTCAGACTATACTCTGCTATGTGTGCTAGTAAGTGGTGGATCTCTAGATTATGGATTTCTGGTTTGGGAAGCAAAGGAACAAGCTGTAGGGTTTTGCTTGATACTCCACCATTATTTGGAAGGAAGAAGTCCTTTACTGTAAGGATGGTGAGGCACTGGAATAGGTTGCCCAGGGAGGTTGTGAATGCTTCATCCCTGGCGGTGTTCAAGGCCAGGTTGGACAGAGCCTTGGGTGCCATGGTTTAGTGTGAGGTGTGTCTGCCCATGGCAAGGGGGCTGGAACTGGATGATCTTGAGGTCCTTTCCAACCCTAACTATTCTATGATTCTATTCTATGATTTGTATGGACTTTTCACCTTGTTAGGTGACAGTATATGAAACTGTAATTGAACTAATATTTGAACCAGTTTAACTCCAGAGTTTCACTTAGCCTGTACCAAATGACCTTGAAATAGTAAATCTGTTATGTCATTTGAACTTGTAATACACAGTTCAAGGGCTATATGTACAGCAGTAGGTTGTGAGGGATTGTTTCAGCAACAGACAGTTTGAATTTTGTAGACTTAACAGGGACAGTCATAAGATGCTGAACTGCCAAGCAAACATAACCATAGACTCTGTTCTAGCCCAAAACATGCTGAGACCATCTTCCACCATTGTAAATTACAGAAAAATAGCTTAATCCTTTCACACCGCAGATGTTTTTTCAACCCAGCAAGACTGAAAACAGAAACAACTGTATTTAAAGTGATCAGAGAAGTACTGTATTAGCTGGGGAAGGGAAACTAAAATCCAAGCTCTGGAAGTCCATTGCAAAACTCCCAGCAACTTTAGTGGGTCAGGGATTTCAGTCTACATGTTTTTGTAGGGCTACAGGCATGAATAATATGTGGGAGGATAAATTAAGTGTATAGATGAAGAGATGAATATAATTGGAACTAAACAAAAAGGTGCTGTGGATTTATATTTTGCCCCACCTACAATAAAAATCCTTGCATGACATAAGGGTTGCTAAGTGAAGTGGCATCTTCATTCCCTGATGACATGTGAATCTCCAGTAGGACAGGTGGAACTTGAAGTACCGTATGATGACTGAAAATACCCTTTTTATTTATTAAGAGACTATTTGCTGTATGAGACTACAACCGTATAAGGTGGTAGCCTATGACAGGAGAATAATTGGGTTTATTTTAGTGAAATTTGCTTTGATAACTTCAAAAGAAAAACGTTAGAAACCATTCAAAAGATTTTTTTGTTACCCAGACTTTTGACTTTTGCAAGGGAAAATGAAACTTATTTTGTAGGCCATACATATATTTAGAAGTAGTGGTTCCCTCAGAATGCAGAATCATCTTTTCTGGTATGTGGAATTCTTCACCAGAAGAATAAATTTCTGTTTCAAGCAGTAAGATCAGGGAGAATTAGCAAGATTTTAATTGGAGGAAATAAAACGTAACTAATAAAAGGAGGGGTCCTGTGCTTATAGAAGGCCCTGCTTCTGCAATAGCTCTGTATGTTCCATTTTAAAAATGAAGTGGGAGTAGCAGGCAGCCCACAGGCAGCGCTTCTCGCTTCGCTGAGACACAAAGTGACTGTCAGAAAGATGTGCCTCATCTTTTTAGTTGAGAGGAGGTAATGAAGAGAGCATTAATGGGAGGGAGGAAGGCAGGCAGCGTGTGGGGGGCAGGACTGCTAATTGCATACTGCCCTTCCTGACAGCTTTAGGACCAGCACTGCAGCAACAGGGCTGGATTCAGAGTGATGCTTAGCACAAGGAGCAGTGCTAAACCAAAGCATGTGGCTGTCTTTGGTAGCACGGTTTATGTGAGCCCCTGTTGGGGGTCTTTGTAAACCTCCTTGCTGCTGGGCACAGTGTGCCACAAGCTAACCAGTTCTTCCAGTTTTCCAGGTTTGTTATTTGAATCTAAAAACAAATAATCCTTGATTCCTTGCCAGCCTCCAGAGAGGTCAAATTATCATTTTGTTGGAGGGCCATCCTAGAAATTGAGAGAGGCTTTTTCCCCCCATTTGTACGGGATGGCAACATGCAACAGCAGCTGACGCCAGCTATCAAACTGCAGCCTCCAGCCATATCTGAGGGTGCTGAAGGGTCTCCCTGTTGAGCTGGGTGACATTCGATAGACCAGGCTTTTCAGCTGCTTTCTCATTTGAATGAGACCAGAATGAGCAGGAACCAGGTTTTGTACTCCTGATAGAGGAGAAGCAGCCAAATGGCTCCTGTTATTTTCCTCTTTTGCTTTCTGTTGACATGTGGGAAAAGGAAAAGGGGAGAAAAAAATGTCTTTGCTTCACCAATTTTTATCTCACCTTTTCCGTTGATGAGATAAGCTCAGGCAGTTTCCCAATGCAGTTCTGTCTAACGCAGCAATCGTGGCATGCCTGTGGAAATAGAAGAAAGCCTACTACAGTCAGATTCTCCAGCTGGCTGGGGAGCAAAGAGAAAGATCTGAAGATATATAAAGGATTAAAAATAGGGAGCTAAAGTGAAGCAGAAAGGTTATATAACTGCAAGAAGGAAAATAGAAAATGTGGAATAATGAAAAAAATCCGGAGTGGTACTGAACAGAAGAGGGAAAACCTGTAAAATTACTGCAGAGGAATAGGGAAAAGCAGCACTGAGAAAGTATTAGTGGTTAAATAAACCGCACAAGTCTCTTCCTTTTAATGATGCCATGCCTTTTTTCTTTATGATGATAAGTGATGATTCAGGTTTAAAGCCAAGATTAGAATGTTCATTACTGTGATTCTTAGAAAACAGAAAATAGAAAATCATCTTTTTCTGAGCACTAAGTGCCTTCAAGTGAAAAGATGTTGCAATTCATGAAAATGGTAATTAGACTTAATTATAACCTAACTGACCTTCTGTGGTGTTAAAATGCTGGCAGAACTTGTTTGTCTTGGCAAGCCTCTCTCTCCTGGAATGCTTCTGTTCTTGTGTTTGGCTTAGAAAGTTCATTGCTATATGGATCCGCACATATGGTTTTCTCCATCACCCATCAAAGGGATAGACAGAGATCTGAAAAGATGTCACTGGCAGTATGTGGAATTACAAGATTAATATCAACCAAGGTAGAAGTAATAGATAATATTATCTGGATATTGCTGTGAATTACCTAAGCCTTGAGTTTTATTTATCATGTGTTTAAACTTTAAAAATAAGCTGCTGAAGCATGTTTCTTTTCTTTCTGTAATGGTTTATATTATACTAGTAATACATGTCACCAGAATGTTTCCCATGCATTGTCGTTTCAGTTTTCTTTGTAGATCTTACTTTCCCCATCCCTAATTTAAATGTAGGTGAGATTCAGAGAATGTCAGGGATTTTTTTAAAGATACCCATAAGAATAATACAAAGCAAGGGCACGTTACAGAAGCACAAAAATGAGGGACAGTCAGAATTTCCCATCGAGAGAGGAAACAGTCTGACTCTGCAGAACACAAGGTGGGTTTTGCTGAGTGCAGTGGTGCTGCTGCTGAAAACAGTGTAGAGCCAAGGGTGGTTGTTTATCTGCTGTGTTTGCAGAATGGAAATAGATCCCAGTCCTCCATCAAACTTTATAACAAACAGTGCCAAGCATAGGAGATTTTAAAGCTGGAACATAGTTCTTCCTTTCAAAGAATACAGAAAGCTGAGGGGTGGTTGCTATAAGCATCTACTTTGATACTTTGATATTTTTAATACTATTTCTCTTCTCTATGTATATATGTTATAAATAAAAGTAGCATGATTAAAGTATATCAGGTTTTTACTTCTGTTGGACCAGAAGCCATGTGGAGAAGGGCATTAATAAATGGTGGCTTAGTGTTCACTCAGTGTTTGCATCCAAGAAGAGGGTTGTGCTGGGCAGGGAAGAGGGCAGCAGCATTTGAGATTCGTGGCCAAACAGCTGAGATGACTGTGGCCCTTT